ACTTGGGGCCCTAAAGTTTTCTTGGTGTATGACCCCAGCTTCTACAGTCCTGCTTTATACAGATTGTAGCTTCAGGGCCACAAGGGACATATTTGGTGAGGGAGGTGGAGGGCCAGCAGACTGGAGCCCTCAGAGGCCCTGTGATCCATGTAGGTGAAGAAACAAGGACTGTCTGTCCAAGTGAAGCTTCCTCAGGATGAAGCCCACACTCAACCCTGCCCCACCAAAGCCCACCAGGTCCTCCATCGGCATTCCGTCTATCAGGCGCCCATATGGGGCCCACCATGTATTGACATAAGAAAAACTCACTTGATCCCTTGAGATATCCTGAGTTAAGTTCCCACCTTCCAGATGAGGAAACGGAAGCACAGAGAGATCACAGAGCTAACACAGGCAGAGTCCTGGTTCCCGATTGGGCCATGTGTCTCCAGAGTCAGTCTCTAACTGCTCCGTGAGGCAGCCTTAGTTTCTCCATTTTGCCCCAGTCTTGTTGTACAAATGGATCGACATTTTTATCCATCACTCAACAGTTCCCTGTTCATGTCTTTGACCAGAATCCCCTGATTATCTTACTTCTGCATATCATTAGAGATTGCATGTTGCTCTTTTTTTTTGTTTTTTGTTTTTGTTGTTGTTGTTGCTTTTTTGAGACAGGGCTGTTCTGTGTAGCCCTGGCTGTCCTGGAACTCACTCTGTAGACCAGGCTGGCCTCAAACTCAGAAATCCGCCTGCCTCTGCCTCCCAAGTGCTGGGTTTAAAGGCATGCACCACCACTGCCCGGTTGCATGTTGCTCTTTTAATTGCTGTGACTAAAAGCATCTTAAGGAAGGAAGGAAAGGTTTATTTTGGTTCGCAGCATGAGGCTCAGTTCCTCATGGCCAGGAAGTCAAGGCAGCAGTATCGTGAGCCAGTGGGTCACACTGCAGTAACAGTCGGACCGAGACTGATGAATGATGGCGCTCTGTTTGCTTCCTCCACTTTATTCATACTGACACGCCAGCCTCAGGATGGCACTGCTCATACTGACACCCCAGCCTCGGGATGGCACTGCCTATACTTAGGGTGGGACTTCTCACTTTAATAAATCCAAGGCAGGGCTGAAGAGATAGCTCAGTGGTTAAGAGCACCAACTATTCTTCCAGAGGTCCTGAGTTCAATTCCCAGCAACCACATGGTGGCTCACAACCATCTGTAATGGGATCCGATGCCCTCTTCTGGTGTGTCTGAAGACAGCTACAGTGTACTCACATAAATAAAAATAAATCTTTCAAAAAATAAATCCAACGTCAAAGCTCCCTCTCAGACATGCCCAGAGGCTTGGTCCCTGGGTGATTCTAAATCTGGTCATGTTGACAATATTAACCAGTACAGGTATCCAGGGCTCCTGTGCTCTCTCCATGGCAATGCTGTTGTTGCACCAGCCAGCTAAATGAGAAGCCTCTGTGCTCACAGAGAACTTGACATACCAATGCATGCAGAGAGTCTTGGACCAAGGTTCTGCCTAGAGGGTGTCACTGTCCCAGCCTGGGTGTCCAATATGTGGCATATGACTTGGTCTAGTGCAGGGCACACGGGGAAGTAGAATGAGAGAATGAAACACAGTATCTCAGGGCGGGGTCAGGGGGCGTGTCCCATCCCTTTTCCTTAGACGCTCATAACTGGGTTGGGAAACTGACTCCCACCACCCCTAATTCATGGGCATAAGTTACAAGAGAGGGGCAAGAGCTTCCATTGCAGTAGAGCCCAGAGTAAACATGGCGCTGCCCACTGAGAGACCTGGAGAGGCTTCTTGGAGAAGCCAGCCAGTATAGTAAGTCTTGAGGGATGGGGCATTTCCCTGCTGGAAAGTGATACATACATGTGCTGGTGGAGACAGAGACCAGGGTAGAAAAGCATCAAGAATCTGCAGGCTGAGCTCAGCTGAGCCCACCAACCCCGTTAGACATGAGGACAGGATCACCACTACCTGTTGATTCTCAATAACCCTCCCTGCCCGCCCCACCCCACCATCACCCTCCCTGCCCGCCCCCCGACCCCCACCATCACCGAGCACGGTCCCTCCCCATCACACACAGAGTATGAAGTCATCCAGCGAAGAAGCTTTATACACAGAGGTGGCCTATTTAGAGAAGGAATGCAAAGTGACTGATAACTGTCAGCCTGCAAGCGAGTGTCCATCTGGGATGAGAACACCAAGTGCCCGCTGCACAGACACTACAGAGTTTCTGCAGATCGCTCTGGCGAGATGCACAAGGCTCTCAGGAGCAGTGGGGTGCACAGAAGGCTACTGTTTCCTGTCAGCCTCCAGGCATGGCTCTAAAGCCAATCCATGCACTGACATCCTCCCAGACAAAGCCACTACCACTACTGTCACTCTGTGGCCTCCCTCGCCACAAAAGGCCAGATTGCCCCAGATCAGAAGACTCCTTCTCCTCCATAGGGGCAGCCAGAGGGCAAACGTGGGTGTTTTAAGACCTGAGGGCTGTTCACCACTTGCTGACCTTAAGTGGGCCTCAGGAGTCACTGAGGAAGCTGTGTTCTGAAAAGCTTTTTTCTTCTTGACATTCTGTCCATCTGACCCCCTGAGGAGGTTGTCCCAACAGCCGGGCAGCTCCACTCTGAGAGCCTCATTCTCTCATCTCCTAATGCTGAGGTCTCTCAGGGGCCATGGTGGGTGGGAACATACATCCACAGAGGAGCTCCCAGCCATGAGGAGGAAATGAGGCATGGACATTCCTAAAGAATCTTTCATGCAAGTGAACCAGAATAATGGCTGCCTGGGAGTTCAGGATGGCATCTTAGAGAAGGTGACATTTGTAACTCAATTACTGTGTGCCAAGCAAGGCTCTAAGACACAGCAGTCAAGAAAGTTAGTGAGTACTGGGTCTCAAACTCTCACCTCAGTCCTGCAGGGAAGCAGGAATAAACTCTAGGTGAGATACAGGACAGCCCAGGTGGACCACAAGGGCAGACACTCAGAGGAACTGTGCATAGACAAGAGGTGTGATGGAGAGGCGGAGAGAAGAGGTAAAAAGAGGAGGGGCTACAAAGCAGGCTAAGAGTCCAAGGCTCCACGGTGCTGACAGCTCAAAGCTGAAGAAGATTCTTGGCAAAGGGGAAGGTATCACGGATCTCAGCACCATTACTAACGGGTGTCTTCAGCCCTCAGGCCCTTGTCACTCATCTCCTAGGCTCTGTGTTTTAAGGACACTTGTTTTCCGACAGAACTCCATCCCACTGACAGTACATTGGAAACTTCTCACAGCCCTCTGCCAACGGAATCCAAACTCTAAGCTCCTCTTGGCTTGACCTTCATCATCACCTGGCTGGGCTGTGGGCTCCGGAGGATCTTAAGAGATCTTTGGTCCTTTGGATAAGTCTGAACTCCCTACTACCTGCCTTGCTGGAATCTACCACTTTGACTTTTGCTCTATTGCTACCAGGATTTCTCAGGAGCACTGTCCATTCTTATTAACCTTGCTAACTATTTTTGACCTCAGTTTGCCTGTCACCTTCTCAGGGAAGCCTCTGCTAAACAATATGAAGCAGAGATCCCTGGAGGTGTCCTTTGCATGCACTGTCCTTTCTGTTAGGAATCTTCTAAGCCCACTGTCCACGTGGTTCCTCTTGCCTGTCAAGCTGCAGCATCTTGGGTTTCTTTAAGGTGGCTCTATTATGTCTTGTGAGACAGGCTCAGGCTGGTTTTGATTCACTGTGTAGTCAAAGATGACCTTGGACCGATTGAACATCACCATAGGAAGCTAAAGTCTTCCAAGACCAGTCTAGCCCAGAAATGTCAGAGTTGGTTGGTAGAATCCTCTACCTGCAACGGCAATCTGGAAAACACCACGTGGCCCCTACAATCTTGGTCCACAGCAATGACAAGGGGATTCCATGCAGAAGATTGATTTGAGGTTTACAGATGGGCTGCCTCATTCTAGGGCTCCCCAAGCCAATTATTGACATAAGCCCCGCCCACACGCACTCACAACATTCATCCATATATCTGTGAATATATGTTCACGCCTGTTCAGTGCCCCGCACAGGACGCTGGGACCTCAAAGACAGGGCGGGGTGGGGAAGAAGGTGCACAGCCAACAGAAGTCACGATTCTAGGTGCGTTGTCCTCACGCACCTCCGCTCTTATTTTTGAAACTGGTAACGACGTTCCTCCTCGAGCCGCCGAACGCTGGGAAAGGGGAAGTGTGGGAAACAGATCTGCTTTTTATTTTTACAAACTTCTTTTGCACCGCTTCCTAAAATCTGAACCTTTCACGGCTCTCAAATGCTGCGCTGTGCAAGGAGCCCTAGTAACTTGAGAGGAGCAAAAGGCTGGCAGTAACACGCTACGCCCCAGGTTCCGCCATCTAGGGACATCCCAGCACCATCCTCGCCTCCTCTATGCTTCGCCCTCGCCCACTGCTGGCCTCGTGCTCCGTCACGGTTACCCCAGGCCCCCGCGCCTCTCCCACCATCCCGGTCCCCAGGAGGATGGCTTCCTGGCTAAGCGCAGCTTTCATTGTCCTCCAGCCGCACCAGACCACGCTCCCCAGAGTTCCTCCCCCTTTCCACTATCCCATTGGCTCTTCCTGTCCAAGCGCGCGGGGACCCGCCTATCAGTGTCCTATATGCCCCGCCTTTGCTAGGAGCCCGGCCAGGGGCGGGGGTTCTGTTGGCCCCACCCTTTGGGGGCGGGGCCAGGCTCGCAAGCGCTCGGGAGCTGCCTCGGCAGGGCTCGGCTCGGCTCGGCTCGGTTTGCAGCTCGGGTGGGGGTGGGTGGCTAGGGTGACAGCGGCGGTAGCAGAGGCTGCGGCGCGGGGCTGAGCAAGCGGCGAGCGCGGAGCCGGTAGGAGGAGGAAGTGAAGCGGCGGCCCGGAGCTCTGGAGTCCGCTGCCGGGGCAGGTCCGCCCAGATTTGCAGAGTGAGCCGCGTCCGGACCTGGGCAGACTTCTTCGCCTTGCTCCGGCCGCTGGCGCTCTGCCTGCCCTGCCCTGCCCTGCCCTGCCCTGCTGGTCCGAGCCCCGCATTCCGCGCCTGGACTTTCCCAGCCCGGTGGTCCGGAGTTGCTGGGACGTTCGAGCGCCGGCCTTGATCCGGAGCTTCGAGACGGGACGTTCTCGGCCCCATCACACTGACCCATCTCTGCTGGAGTGTCCTCCACCCCCGGGTCAGCGCAAGGTGGCCCCGGCTCTGGGACTTGCGTGTAGAGGAGCCGGGACGCCCACCGGCCTCCAGCTCCCGGAGAACCAAATCTTCAGCTGCCTTGGACCGAACTGCTCTAGACTTGAAACTGTACTGGCACCGCCCGGGTCCAGCGTACCGTGAGGGGTCCCATGCTGGCAGGACAGTCGGACTGAACCCCTGGGCTGGTGCTGCAAATCGAAGCTGCCACCTTTCTCCGCCCTAGGCTAAGAATTTGTGGGTGCTTGACCTAAAGGGAACACGGGCTTTTCCTGCCACAGTCTCCAGCGAGCCGAGGTTCCAGGTGAGAGCCCCGGATGCGCGGCGGGAGCAGTCCCGGGAGCCTAGAGACAGGGCCCGGGTCAGCGGAGGGCGTGGAGGGGACACGGGAGAGTCTACTGTTTAGGAGAGGGCGCGCGAAAGATAGTAGAAAGGAGCCTGCACTTATTGAGTGCCCATTGTGTGCAGGTCCGAGCCCCGCCCTTGCACAAATCGTTTCTTATCCAAAGCTCAGAGCTACCCCTGAGATAAAAGCTATTGTGTATTGTTATGGGCGCCGACAGTTGGGGAAACTGAGGTGTGGCAGGGTTGAGAGGTCCTCTGCCCTCCATGTTGAGGATTAGCCCCGGGAGAAGGGAAAAGAGAAAGAGCAAAGAGGGAGGGGAGGAGAAAAGAAGTGGATAGCTTGCAAGTGAGAGATGAACGGGGGGGGGGGGGAGCATCGAAATTCAAGCCCTGGTCCTGAAGCTTACCAGCCATTCTTGGATCATGGACATGCCATCTCCCCGGAAAGTGAACATGCCTTGAGGGCAGAGCTTCCCTGTTCCAAAAGATCTCTTCCTGGGGTCCAGGCTGGAGGGACAACCTGCTTCCCATATTAGTGGGAACTATAGTTACTAAAGTACTCTTTATCTGTTAAGGGACTCACCATATTGGTCCCCAAGCCACAGCCGTGTGGAAGCTGGAGCTGCGGTCTCTCAGAACTCAGCCACCTTCCCGTGACATTATTAATGGGGACACACCGACGACTTATGGGGAGCAAAGTGGCCCTAAAGCCAGTGAGTGGTCAGAGAGAAGTAGACCTGAAAACGATCTCCAAATATCCATCAAGGGGTCCTCTCCCAGCTCTCGCCTTTTTGCGTCTGTGGCTAGGGTTTCCCCACCCACTGTGTGCGGTTGAGGTGAGCGTGTGTGAGGCTGCATCGAGCATGTGTGGTTGGAGTTGGGGCTCAGAGAAGCCTGACTTCAGTCTCTCTGTGCAAAATGGCCCAGGGGAGAACTTCTCTCCTTAAAGTTAAGGGCTGCCAGGTCTGGGGACACAGTCCAGGTGTCTTGATTCCCAGGCAGAAATTCCTACTGTTGCCTCTGGATCTCTGTAGGAGAGGTGTGTTGTGAAAGAGAATTTGGCACCGACTCTGTGGGCTCTTGTTCTGGGTGAGGATGGGGAGGTGTGCGGCCTTGGTCTGGGCACTATGGCCTTGGCTGGGACTAGTTAACCTTTGTCGGGCCGGACTCCCTGGAGTCTAGGGAAATTACCTTGGAAAGCCCCTGGGAGATAGAACAGGGTCTTAAAGACTAGAAGCCTGTTCTTGGGTTGGAGGGGTTCCGGCAGCCTAGAAGGTGTCTGAGGGGCTTGGGATTCCCCCTCCCCCACCTCTGCCTGAGGATTCAAATACTTATAATAACCCTTGCATCTAAACAGAGCTCCCGTTTGATGAACTAATTCCACACCTGTGATCTCATTTCACCGTGTGCTGGAAATTGCTGGGAACCTCTGGTGAGGCACAGCAGGAGGCCAGGAAACCTCCTTCTGAAGTCTTACCTGTGAGATGGGGTCAGAGCATCGTGCTACCTGCTCGGAAAGAGAGGGTCCCACAGGCAAACTGTTGAGTGCTAAGGAGCTGTGGGGCTTGCCCAATATGGGCTTGCTATTTAAGGCTATCTTGTGTGGGAAGCTGAGGCTCAGAGAGGTGAAATCTTTGACTCAGGCCTGGTGAGTTGGCTTCAGGGACTATTTGAGTGTCAACTGTGAAGTGTCGTAGAAGTTATGCAGATGGGCTAAGCGGCAGACTGTAGCCTGAGTGGCCAGTGGCCAGTGTCGTGATGAAGAAGTTACTCTGCCTCCTGATCACGGGCAGCCATGTTACCCTCTGAGCCCTCGGCTTTTCTAAGAGCGGATCAGCTCTCCCACCAAGATTAACTGAGCTACAGATACACAGTGTCTGGCCACCATCCATTTCCTTCCCTGTGGAGAAAGGAAACTGGAGTTTTGACCAGGAAGTCTGGGAAATCCTCAAATTTGTTTGAGGTTAGAACACACACAGGTGGCAGTCAAAGGCTGAGAAACTTCAACAACATGTCCATGTTCCTGGGCAGGTCAGACTTCCTGAGCTTCCTCCCATAGTTACAAAGCCTTCTATAATCTACTTGGAGATACTGAGGAGGGCCCCTGAATTCTAACAGTCCTCACACCCACTGTGGCTTCCTGTGGGGCAGGAGCTGGTGTCCATTCCCTTTGGCCCATTGTCTGGCCTCCCTAAGCACAGGGTACAGTGAATAATTTATCATTCCCCTCACTGGGAGGCAGGCTAGGGAAATAGCTGCACTTCTCTGTGCTTCCGCCCCACCAGAGGAGGCCAGGAGCTCCTGTTTGTTCGTTCCTCAGTCTCTCTCTCTCTCTCTCTCTCTCTCTCTCTCTCTCTCTCTCTCT